AGTGATAAAGGAGGAGGAGAAAGCAGGAGGAGGCAGATGAGGAGGAGGAGGAGGAGGAGGAAGGAAGGGAAGGAGGAGAACGATGAGCACATGGAAGAATAGGGGGAAGAGGAGGATGACGAGGATGAGGAAGAGGAGTAGGAGTAGGAGTAGGAGTAGGAGGGAGAGGAGAAAGAGAAAGAGGAGGAGGAGGAGGAGGAGGAGGAGGAGGAGGAGGAGGAGGAGGAGGGGGAGGAGGAAGAGGAAGAGGAAGAGGCGGAGGACGCGGAGGAGGAGGGCATGACCAGATGAGAGAGCGCGCCGAAGGAGGAGGAGGAGGAGGAGGACGAGGAGGAGGAGGAGGAGGAGGAGGAGGAGGAGGAGGAGGAGGAGGAGGACGCGCGCCGCCTCGCGCAGAATCGGTTGGACCCAACTCTAGGAGGCGCATGGTGCCTCCTGCTGTTCCCTTCGGCGGACAGGAAGCCCGGCACCGCTCGCGGCGGCTGCGGCCACGGCCGCGGCACTCTCAGAGCTCGCAGCCGCGCGCGACGATCAGCACCTCCTCGCACACGCACTCCGCTGCACCGCCGCTGCTTGCCGTCCTCGATCTGCTGGTAGCCGATGCCATCGACGAACGCGTCACTGTCGGTGTTGGCCTCCTCGTTCTCGCCCAAGAGAGCCCCGCGAAGAGCAGCACCTCGAAGAAATACCCCAGACTTCGGGTGGCGCTGATCCATCGCGAGCTTGATGGCCTTTTTCTGTGACGAGAGCGTCTTCGGGTCCTGGGCAGGGCCAAGGCAACATGCCGCCAAGCCTCGGGCCTTGCCGCCACTGATACAGTACTGAGCGCACTTCTTGCAAATCGCGATCGGCCCGAACGTCATACGCGCATGACCCAAATCACGAAACTGAAGAATAGGCCCCTAGGACGCTGGGCTTGGCCTCGATGAGCCCCTCCTTCTGCGAAGCATAGAAGAAAGCATCGGCCGCCCAGCTCAGCACCTGCGTCGGCTCGCACCTCTTGAACATCTCCTTGGCCCGCAGGCTGCCAAGATCATGGTCCGTCCTGGCCACCGCGCTGCAGGCGCGGCAACGCCACTCCCTCGGGGCCCCAGACGAGGGATCGTGCCAAAAACTGTGGTACTCGATGGTCACGGCTGGTTCCGACGCCTGGCTGACGTTCAGGATCTGCTGAAACTCCAGCTTGCTGGCCCGCTCTGCGTGCCGCTGCGCCAGCGGACCTGGCGTCTGCATGGCGTCCACCGCTCGCTCGAACATAACCTGCCGGCCCTTTACGGAGCCTCCGAGAAGGTCACAACGTCTCTGCCCACGCCCGCAAAGAAATCTGCCCACTGATTTCTCGGCAAGCGGTTTAGATCACATCCTCTCTCGACAGTGTGGTCCACGGTGAGGTGCGGACCTTGCCAGATGAACTGCGGCCTGCATCCTGTGCGCAACTACTGCATCTGCCGCCAAAGGCCTGCATGCGTCCCTTGCGGGCCCGATAGCCTGTCCCAGTCGACCTTCGACTCGTTGACCAACGAGAGGTGGCCCGTGCTGATGACCGCTGACTGCTCGGCCAGCCTGGGGGCTTGGGCCACGGCGAAGCGCTCGGCGTAGGGCACCGAGTCGTTGCGACCAGGCACTCCACCGCATCGCGCCCGACATGGCCACCCATCCCCGCCTAGCTCGACCACCGCCCAGCCGCTGCGCCTGCACTCGGGGAAACTGAAATTGGCGACGGCCACGTCGGTGAATGCGCACCTTCCCCATCTTGACGAAGTGGACCTGGCCCTCGAAGCACTCCACCCTGCCCATGAACCTGTCGCCGACGTCTTTCCACTGGCAGTCCCGGAAGTCCTTGAGGCCGCCAAAGGCGAAGAGCTCCAAGTAGCGCCCTCACCCGCAGGAGGAGAGAGGAGGAGAGAGGAGGAGGAGGAGGAGGAGGAGGAGGAGGAGGAGGAGGAGGAGAGGAGGAGGAGGAGGAGGAGGAGGAGGAGGAGGAGGAGGAGGAGGAGGAGGAGGAGAGGAGGAGGAGGAGGAGGAGGAGGAGGAGGAGAGAGGAGGGGAGGAGGAGGAGGAGGAGGAGGAGGAGAGGAGGAGGAGGAGGAGGAGGAGGGAGGAGGAGGAGGAGGAGGAGGAGGAGGAGGAGGAGGAGGAGGAGGAGGAGGAGGAGGAGGAGGAGGAGGAGGAGGAGGAGGAGAGGAGGAGGAGGAGGAGGAGGAGGAGGAGGAGGAGGAGGAGGAGGAGGAGGAGGAGGAGGGAGGAGGCGGAGGAGGAGGAGGAGGAGGAGGAGGGAGGAGGAGGAGGAGGAGGAGGAGGAGGAGGAGGAGGAGGAGGAGGAGGAGGAGGAGGAGGAGGAGGAGGAGGAGGAGGAGGAGGAGGAGGAGGAGGAGGAGGAGGAGGAGGAGGGCCACCTCCCGTGACGCAGAGGTGCCCGCGGGCGGGGCTCTTCGCGGGCAGCCCGCAGCTCTTCGCCGCGTCGCTGAGACGGGGTGGCTGCCCACGGAAAACCAGCGGAGGTGGGGCCCTCCATGCTCGCTACCCAGAGATCCAACGTCTCGAAAAAATCAAGACGGAGGTTTTTCTCAAATTTCGGCCCCTAGGGGCCCTCGCCGGGCCTCGGGGCCGTCAAAAAACGACTCAGAATGAAAAACCGGTCCTGGGGAATGGGTCGAGACTTCCGGGGACCCCGTATTGAAAAAATCACGACATCGGATCTCTGGGTACCGAGCCTGACATTGGAGTCACCGGTGTCCCAGTCCCTGTCGCCGCCAATGCCGCGCCCGTTGCCATGGTCCTCGAAGTCCTTGCGCCAGGACAAGCAGCTGCCGCAGCTGCCGAACCCGATGCAGTGGAGCTCACCCTCGATGCTGTTGGGGATGAACTCGGGGGCCACGAAACCGATGATGAGCAGCCATGCGACTGCTTCAGCAAACAGAGACTGAACCTGGGGGGCATCCCCTGGATTTGCAAGACTGGCGACGCAACCCGAACACGACTACGGGATTTGCGCCCCAACGCCAGGCGCGGCTAACACGCCCCCCTCCGCCAGGGCAAGACGGCTGGACACACCTTTGTCCAGCTACAGGCGACGCAACCTGGGCGGCCATTTCCAGGATTTGCGAGCTGACGCGGCTGATCACGCGTATGCAGCAACGGCGAGACTCCCTGATTCAAGTCGAAATAGCGCTGGACGATGGCAGTTCTCCATGAGGAGACCAGTGACCGCGCCAAGTAGCTGAGGACCGAGATGCACGAGGCTGACTGAGCCTCGCCAAGACATTCGCGGGGGCGTCAGTGTGAGATAGCGCTGCCAGCCGCTCCCACCACTTCGTGGCCGCCTTCGTCCACCGGCGCTCGTTCGTGGCCCCAGGCCGACCGATAAGACACCAAGGTGAAGGCCCACATCAGCGCCACCCGAATCGTGAACCGTTTGGCAGGTACTCCAGATTTCGTAATAAAAGGGAGGGGGTCTGGACCCTCCAAGACAAGCCATTTCAGACCTCCCCCGTGGGAGAACCCTCCAAAATATCGTCCCCAGACCCCCCCAGGCACCCCAAGACAGCCTGGAAGACACCCCCCCCGAAATGAGACCCCCCTCCCTTTATTACGAAATCTGGAGCACACGACCCACCAGCGAGGCTCCAGCCGTGTCCACCCCCGAGTCGGCGAACCAGCCCTGTAGAGCTCGTGGAACAACTTGGGAGGCCACGAGGTCCGGGATTGCACCAAAACCCTTCTTGAACGAAGGATTGCAAAAACCCTTCTTTTTGAACGAAGGATTGAAAAAACCCTTCTTGAACGAAGGATTGCAAAAACACCCTTCTTTTTTGCAATCCCTCGTTTTTGCAATCCTTCGTCGGCGAACCAGTCCTGGAAAGCTCGCTGACCAACGTGGGAGGCCACGAGGCCCGGGGCTCCGATCGTGAAGACCGCGGGGGGGTCGGGAGGCCCGTCGAGATCCGCCTCGGCGACGATGTCGGGGGCAGGAACGAAGGATTGCAAAAAAAAAACATCCTGAGGATTGCAAAAAGCCCATCCTAAAGGGTTTTTGTTGCAATCCTTCGTTTAAGGGTTTTTGTTTGAAATCCTAAGGTTTTTTTTTGCAATCCTTCGTTGCAATCCATCGCGCGTGTGCAACCGTGAGGGTCCGATGGATCTCGTTGATGGCAGCACTCTGAGCTTCCTGCGCACGTTGAGTCTCGTCGACCCGCCGACGAACCTGTGCGATCTCACTCTCTGCTGCATCGACTCGCTCAGATACAACCTCCTGCTCCGCATGCATGGTCTCGGCGACTGTGCGCGCGGTCGAGCGCTTGAGCTCCTCGAGCGTGGTGTCGACGTGCGCCGTGAGCTTCGCGTAGTGGGACTGGTGGATCGCCTCGAGGGGGCCAGCAGGAGGGGGTCCAGCTCGTGAGGCAGACCTTGCAGCTGGTGCTGGTGGAACTCGTTGCTGCTGAGCTCGATGAGCATGTTGGCCCGCATGTGCAAACCCAGATCCTGCATGGTCACGCCCATCAGCTCCCTGATGCCAGTGGTCCGCACGGTGCACTGGATCCTGGGGAAGACGGGGAGCCAGCTTCCGAGAAGGGACCGCAGCTGCTCCTGCCAGTCCTTCCATGGGCTGCTGGGCGAGACATCGGCATGGGCGCGGGGGCGCCGCCTGGACCGCCAGCGCCACGGTGTCCGCCTGCACCTGCAGAAGAGCGCCCGTCCCGTGGGTGGCGGCGAGAAGCGCTGGGACGGTCACGCACATCCCGCCGATCGCGCCGACGATCTTTTTTCTTTCGTACCCATCTTTCGCCTTTTCCTAAACGATCGCGCCGACGATCTCGATCGTGGTCGGCTGGCTGCCGACGGGGCCGACGAGGGCGAGGGCGAGGTTCGTCACCGCCACCACCGCGAGAGGCGCTGCGCTCCGCCTCGTCCACGTCGGAGCCACCTCCCGGCATGGCGGCAGCAGCGCGACGAGCGCGAGCACGATTATGAAGAGGCGGCGCCACGGCAGCGGCCCAGGCGGGGCGCCAAGGGCACGGAGGGTCCTGCTGGAAGGTTGAATGAGAGCCTACCCCGCGGAGGCAGTCATGGAGCAACCATGTGGGCCTGGAGCCAAACTGGCCACGGAGAGTAGGAGTAGGAGGAGGAGGAGGAGGAGGAGGAGGAGGAGGAGGAGACGGAGGAGTGAGGAGGAGTGATGATGATGATGATGATGATGATGATGATGATGATGATGATGATGATGATGATGATGATGATGCTGATGATGATGCTGATGATGAGGATGATGAGGATGATGAGGATGATGAGGATGATGAGGATGATGAGGATGAGGAGGAGGATGAGGAGGAGGAGGAGGAGGAAGAAGGGAGGAGGAGTGAGGAGGAGTGAGGAGGAGGAGGAGGAGCAGGAGGAGGAGGAGGAGGGGGAGGAGGAGGAGCACGAGAAGGGCCGGGCGGGCCACTTTTTTGCAAAACCGGTCCTTGCGATCGCAGGCTCCCGGGCACAGGCCAGCGTCCCAGGATCGGGCGGCGCACGGACGCCGAGAGCAAGGCGGAGGGGCGCGGCGCGGGCGGAGGAGACGGAAGCGCAGCCCTCTGCCACGAGTAAGAGCTCCCAGGGGAAGATCGCGGGTGCGTCTTGCAGTGTTCCGCCCTCGTCCTTCTCCTTCTGCCTGCTCCCTCTCCTTCTGCTTGCTCCCTTCTCCCTATCCGCCCCTCTCCTCCTCCTCCTCCTCCTCCTCCTCCTCCTCCTCCTCCTCCGCCGCCGCCGCCGCCGCCGCCGCCGCCGCCGCCGCCACCAGCCATTCTGGCTCAGGCGATTGGGGCCTGAGCTTGCAAGCGCGTGCTTCAGAGCGGCTCGTGCTGGCGGGCCTTTCTGTTTGAGAACGATCAGTGCGTCTGCAGCCAGCCGCTGCAGTTGGGTTCCCCGCCAGATGTGCTGCCAGGGCCGCACCTGCCTCACTGGAGTTGCAACTGTGGCTGTGATGGCGACTGGGGGTCGCGTGTGGCATGCCGTCAGTGCGGCAAGTCGGCACCGTAACCGATCGTCCTGGGCGCGAGCCTCGTGGCAAGTGGGCGCAAGAGGCACCCAACTCAGGAGAGAACTTGCCCAAGACCTTCAAGTCCCTGGAGGCCAAGATTGCGAAGCTCACGGTCTCGGACGGCTCTGCTGGGCCCAAGGGCAATTCGGGTGGCACAGGTGGCAGGCATCCGTGGACAGGCAAAGGGAGCAATGGCAAGTTGGCGGCGGCGGCAGCCTCAGGGCCAACGTACAAA